TCGTAGTTCAAAAGATTTCCTGTGGAATTAAAAGCCCCTCGCGGTTAAAAGTCAAACATCCAGCCCGGGCTGCAAACCAGTGTTCAGGAGCTGATGGGGCTGAAGCCACGGCTTTCTCTTCCCTTCACATCTTTAAAAATAAAAGCTTGACCCAGGGCACAGCACCGAGGCCATTAGAGTCTCTCTGCAGCCAGTCCATCCTCTGCCAGCTGTCCCCGAATCCGGCACGATGCTTTTAACCTGAATAATGCACAATCCGGGACAAAGAGGGGTGGTTTGGTTTTTTTTTGTCAGACAAACTGTGAGTAGGGCAGGGTCGGAGGGGAGGAATCGAGACAGCCAGCAGAAACCAGAGTATGAGTCCACACACAGTCTGCAGGTTTTTCTCAAACTGTGAGTAGGGCAGGGTCAGAGGGGAGGAATCAAGACAGCCGGGAGAAACCAGAGCACAAGTCCACACACAGTCTGCAGGGAGGGAATTCCTCCTCCCAAAGCCCTGAATTAACCAAAAGGCTCCTTTGCAGCACTTTTAGCCCAGAGGGACACGCTCGGTGGCCGGCTCCATGCCTGCTGCTCCAGCCTGACCCGGGGTGGCCAGTGGAGCTGGGGCAGAACTGGGACCACAGCCCCAACCAGGCTGCCCAGCACGATGAATGATGCGAAAGAGGTGGCTTTGCCTAAATCTAAAGCGTTTTGACACATTCCTGAATGGGAAGAAAATGTCATGGCTTTTTTTTTTTTGAAAGAAACCCACCATGAACGCGTGTAAAAATGTGCATGCAGGGGGATGTGGGCACATACATGGTGACCGTCTTGGTTTTGCTTGCCCAGCCCTCAATCAGAAGTCATCTATGGCATTATTTGGAGTGGGGATGCTGATTATTTGGAGTGGGCGTCTAAGGGTGTGTTCCTCCATCCAAAATTGCACTATGTCTTATTTCCGTAGCCACGTAACGCAAGGGGTTTGCAAACCACCCCCCCCTCCCAGCCCAGCTCCTCTGGGGGGGCTGCAGAGCTGCTCTGGGGGTTCCAGGGGCAGGGACTGGCTGTGCACCCACCAGCCATCCTCATCCTGAGGAGATTGTGCCTGTCACCCGGGAATAAATGACCAACCTGAGGAGTGAGACAGCCTGGGAGAAGGGCAGGACTGTGCCCAGACACGGTGCAGGAGAGGGTGGGCAACAGCAGACCTGCTTTGCAATGGGACCATGGGGTGGGTGTGTGTGTGTTCTAGGGCCAGGAGCCGTGGGCTGCAGCGTGCCCCCACCCCATGGCGGCAGCAGATGCCTCCTGACTTGCAGCACAAGCCACTTCACAGCCAACCCTGTGCCCCATCACTTGCTTGTCATCGCTGAGCACTCCAGCCGAATGGCGAGGAGGGGCTGTATAAAAGGATGCAACAATATCAAAATCCTCTTTATAAAAACAAAAAAAAGTAAAATAATGCCCCACAGCACTAGAAAACCTTGCGTCCCAGCTGTAACTGTCCTCCCCTTTCAGCTTTGTGTTCTTCTTACCCCTTTACGTTGCCGTTGAGCACGTCTCTGCCTACAAAACATAGAAACACATTCATTTTTCTTCTTCTTTTTCAAAACTCTTTCCAAAAGTTCTCCCTGCGGTGAGGTGTGGTGTGATGCTCCAGGCCGGGGGGGACAGGAGGCACCTCACACGTCGGTGCTGATGCTGCGGCTGCGGGAGAAGGCCTCCCGCATGGCCGAGAGCCGGTTGGGGTTGAGAGCCTGCAGGTTGGCCACGCTCACCGGCAGGTCAAGATCCTCCTGGCTCACCGTCTTGTAGCTCACCCGGTCGCCCCCGTTGTGCAGCTCCTCGGGGGGCTCCTGCAGGAAGAAGGTGGGGGGTTCCTGCAGGGAGAAGGTGGGGGGTTCGTAGGGCACGCAGCCGGGGCAGCTGGGCCGGCTCGGGGTGGGCTTCTTGCCGAAGGGCGACGAGGCGTAGAGGGACGGGCCGTTGGTCAGGACCACGTTGCGGTTGCAGTGGAGCGGCGGGATGTGGGAGTGCACGGCGAAGTCGGGCTCCTCCTCATCCTCTTCGGACTCATCCTTCTTGCAGCAGTAGTACTGAAACGGGATGGTCCTCTGGGTCTGGGATTCAGCCAAGCATCCCAAACCACCCACCTTGCCACCGAGGGGCTGCTCCGTGCGTGCCAGCCCCCCAGGACCAGCAAGTAGGGGACACTGGGCTGCCCGTGGGGTCCCCTCCCCATCTCAGCAGCCTTGAGGGCCACATCTCCCCAGCCTTACCTGGAGCCTACAGTAGCAGAGGACGGCGATGATACAAAGTAAAATGACAGTCGCTAATATTCCACCTGTGATGACCACGGTCCCGGCTGTCATCCGCCCTCTTCTCCATTAACAGCCTGCAAAAGCAAGGGCATGGGGTGATGGGGTGCAGTGGGGGCCGGGTGGTGGCTGGTGCTGGGTGATGCAGGTCCCCAAAGCCTCAGGGGGCTAGAAACCAGAAGGTCTTGGTGGAAGCTCATGGACAGGATCAGGCCAGATCCTGGCACTGGGCGCCTGTGAAAGCCATCAAGGAGACTCTGCACCCCCCTAAACACCACCTTGCAGGTGCAGGGGGATAAAAAGCTTCATTCAGCAGGTGAGCTATTTAGTGAGCAGCAGCTCTGGGGTCACATCGGGCTCTTCTGCATGCAGGATAGACGACCCAAGGGAAATAAAACCTTCTGCCCAAGTGCCCCTGGCACCCTGGACACCCTCCCGGCTCCTGCCTGGTGGCCAAGAGCTTCAGTGATGGGAGAAGGAGCTTTGCAGTAAGGATTTCTGAGCCGTACACATTTTTCTCTGAGCCTATAATCCATTTTCCCCATGAAAACAATGTGGTATTTTAATTTGGAATAACGGGAGCTGCTAAGTGAGCCTTTAATGACTGCAGGGACTGGCGCTCTCCCCTCCCTGAGCAGTGAGCTGAGGTAGGGGATGTGTCTGCTGCAGGAGGCACCAAGCTCCTCGTCTCCACCATGGCCAAGCCACAACGTCGGCCAGGCTGATGCTGCTGACAGCCTCAGGCGAGCTGTTCATTCCCATCACAGCAAACGTTGCAGCTGGACACAGTGTGATGGACACCCCAGAGATGCCACAGCTCAGCTTGGCCCCACACTTGCATTTTGGGGCACCAGCAGCACCTTTCTCTCCCTGGAGTGCCCTAAGAGGAATCCGGGTGCTGACACAGAACTGGTAGCGGTGGAAGGTCCCTGCTTCTGGCACCACTGGCTCACCCAGAGGGCAGACCAGCCCCACAACACCAGCACGGCTCCTGCTCTGAGCATCCCTGCCCTGAGAGGTGATTCTCTGTCCTCGTGAGGCCCCACCTGGAGCACCGTGTCCAGCTTTGGAGTCCTCAACACAGGAAGGACATGGATCTGTTGGAACGGGTCCAGCGGAGGGCCACGAGGATGATCAGAGGGATGGAGCACCTCTGCTGTGAAGACAGGCTGAGAGAGCTGGGGTTGTTCAGCCTGGAGAAGAGAAGGCTCCAGGGAGACCTTAGAGCCCCTTCCAATATCTGAAGGGGCTACAGGAGAGCTAGGGAGGGACTCTTTGTGAGGAAATGTAGAGACAGGACAAGGGTTGATGGTTTTAAATTGGAAGAGGGGAGATTTCGATTAGATATTAGGAAGAAATTCTTTCCTGTGAGGGTGGTGAGACACTGGAACAGGTTGCCCAGAGAAGCTGTGGCTGCCCCATCCCTGGAGGGGTTCAAGGCCAGGCTGGATGGGGCTTCGAGCAACCTGGTTTGGTGGGACGTGTCCCTGCCCAGGGCAGGGGGTTGGAACTCCACGATCTTTAAGGTCCCTTCCAACTCTAACCATTTTATGATTCTATGAGAGCTTGCGGGACAGCTTCCATTTCCCTGCATCCCACGCAGAAGAAGACCAAGACCTTTGCCACAGGAAGGATGCTGGGGAGATGCATACCTGCCTGGGGACACCTTCCAGCAGCCATGCAAACAGTGGCACTACCACCAGCATTGCTCCAGCAGTCCTTTGCTGCTGCAAGAGCTGGGCTGGCAACAGGCGAAGCGACATAAATTAAGAGAGAAATTGTACCCTGACCACCTACTCTACAAGCACTTTAACAAAGCTGGCCTCCAGCTCATGCTATCAGGTTAAAACAAAAAAAAACCAGCCACCCCAAGCCCCAAATTACTTCAGCACCCGAGGAAAAGCAACCGTATCTGTCAGGGATTTAACCCGTTTCCAAAGAAAATAAATCTGTGGCATATTTTCAGGCGCTCAATGTCCTGCTAAAGTTGGGTAAGTGCTGAATGGATAAAGCAGTATCACATTTTATGTTGCTGCTGAGCAGCGCTGTAGGAGGGAAGGTAATTTATAACGATGTCTGAACGCCTTCTAGCACCGCACGGCCACGGGGCAAGCGCCGGGCCAAATCCTGCCCAAATTCCTCGGGCAAAACACCCTGAGGAGGCTCGGGGGGGAGGGAGGAACACAGTCAGGGGGAGGGTTTGCAAAAAAATGCATTAGTGATTTAGAAACTTCGGCTCCTGTTTAAAGAGAGGTGGAAGCACCAGGTGCTGCGGGTACATGCACCAGCCCGGCAGAACCAGCTGGAAATGTCCATCCATGGGTCCTTTGCTGGTCCCATTTGGAATCACTGTGATGGCACCAATCTCAGGGCAGGGACGTGCAGGGCAGGCACAGGACCTGGCTCTGGGATGGCCGGATTCAGCCCTGCAGCCTCTCAGGGACGGGTGCTGCACCCATCAGAGAGGATCAGCATCTCAGCAAGCTCCTTGCCAGCCCCAGATGAAAGGTGGCAGGCAGGGCTCAGGCAGGAAAGGCTCCTCGGCTTCCTCGATGGTTAATTAAATGGCCATCTTCCCCGGGGGGACAAGCCAGGGTCACACAGAGCCAGCTTTCATGGTTTCTGTCCAGCCACAGTCAGCCAGACGTGGCATCACAGCCCCTGCTCCATCCATTTGCATTTCATTCTTTTTTTTTTTTCCCCTCCTGTAACATACTTGTCTGATTAAAGCTGCGTACCTGGAAGCATTAAACTCTCCAGCGTGCAAAGGGGGAGGAAAGCAGAGCATGTGGAGGCCCATAAGCAGAACAATTCCTGTCTAGACCTCCTTTTTACATTTGTTCCTAATTTCACGCTCCGCAGGCTCCCAGATTCATATATTTAGTAATAAATATCCTGGTTAAAGGAAGTGCTTTGCAGCTCCACTGTGGTCTTGGAGAAAGCATTAGGAACGCAGGCACCGAGAGACGCGGTCCCAGCAGACGGTCGCTTCGGTAACGTTAGGAGCCCTCCAGCTACTGAGGATGCCTGAACCCCCCCAGTCCCATCCAACTCCAGCACGTCCTCCATCACTGCCAGACAGCCAGGAAGGGGCTGCGGGGGGATGTTAACTCCACACAGGCTGTTTGCCCCCAGCCCAGGAGCCCTTTGCTGTAGGAAAGTGGTCCCCAGTGCCATGGGGTGATCAGGGATGGTGCCTCTCGGGGTTAATGGGAGCCACCACCCTGGTGTGGGCACACCAGAGCTTGGGTGCAAGGTGTCCCCCTTCCCTGGCACCCTGCTTTACTTCCCCGGTGTGTGAAGGACGGGTCGTGCTTCAACAAACCAAAGGCAGGTCTCTGCACGGTTGCTACAGGCTGCTCCTGGATGAGCTGTTTGGTTTTAAAGACAATTCTCTGCTGCTTGCCTGGTTTCACCAGGGCATCTACTGCTGCAGCTACAGCAGCACCGTCCCTGCAGCCTTGCAGCAGCTGGGAAGTCCCCGGGTGTGAGAAAACGCCCTTTTTTATTCCTTGCAGCCTGGAGAAGACATAAGGAGCACTCCCATCAGCTCCAGCCCCAGATTGGTGGCTCCTTTCCTTGCTGACACCCCCTGAACATCCCTGCCATGGCTGAGGACATGGGCTTTGAGGTTTGCTGCTCACCAGGAGCCAGGGCTGCATCAGCCTCTGCTCCCCCCTTAGCTTGGGCACTGCCAGGAGGACACCATGGGGACTCCATGAGGATATGGTGGGGACACAGTGGAGATATGACGACACCATGGGGACTCCATGGGGGACCAACGGACCTTCCTGATGTGCTGCAGCTCAACCCAGGGGGCTGGAGGAGGGATGGGTGAAGTTTCCCACAAGCAAGAGAGAACGGGAGAGCCCAAATCACACTTGACAATGCAGAAAGGAGAAGGGGGGGATTGAGAAATCACCCCAAGTCAGCCCACCCCAACATCCCCAATGTGGCCCCTGGACCACCAAGGGTGCCTGGCGTGGGGAGAGGCTGCTCACAGTTGTGTCTCACTGCTGGGACAGTGCTGGGAGTGAGAGGGGGCAGACGGCTGTGCAGCCTCCTCCTCGTGGGACCTGCGTGGGAGGAAGGCTTCAGAGCAGCCCGGGGCTGAGCTCAGCCCATCCCAGGGCTCCAAAACACTGAGCTCCAGGTGCTGGAGCACTACAGACAAAGCCAGCTCCCATGGACTGGCCTGACCCTGCCTGAAGAAGCTGTAGGAGAAGGAGACCTGGGGACTGCTAAGGAGACCCCCTCCAAGCTTTCTTTAAGAGACCTTCAAGTGCCTAGTTAAGCCAGCTCCTAGGATTTGCAGGTATTCAGATCAATCTTCAGGCCAGACCTTTAAATGAATGGGGTCTCCTCCCATTCCATCCCATCCCAAACCCAGTCACCCCCAAAGCCTTTTGCACTAGCTGAAAGTGCTGTCGTGGCAAGAACCAAAAAAAAAAAAAGAGTGCTAGTCCCACTGAGACCTTGCCTGGACAAGGAGACCATGTCTTACCTGCCAAGTGCTGTAGCCCAAGGCTTGTCCTACTGCAGCTCTGCCTGCATCCCCCCAGCTGCTCTGGGATCTGCTGCATCTGCAGCCAGAAGCAGCACAGCCTTCTATTTAACAAGGAAGCTGGGATTGCCCTTATTCACCTGACTCCAGAGGCTGGAGATTTAAATGAACTAGCCAAATCAGGTGTGGAACAACAATTGGTAGCACAGAAGTGAGTGCTGGCAGGACTGCTTAGGCCTGGAACCCCAGCCCTGGAGCAGGTGGAAGCTCCTTGCCTGGACAAGGAAACCATGTCTTACCTGCCAAGTGTTGTAGCCCAAGGCTTGTCCTACTGCAGCTCTGCCTGCATCCCCCCAGCTGCTCTGGGATCTGCTGCATCTGCAGCCAGAAGCAGCACAGCCTTCTATTTAACAAGGAAGCTGGGATTGCCCTTATTCACCTGATTCTAGAAGCTGGAGATTTAAACGAACTAGCCAAATCAGGTGTGAAACAACAACTGGTAGCACAGAAGTGAGTGCTGGCAGGACTGCTTAGGCCTGGAACCCCAGCCCTGGAGCAGGTGGAAGCTCAGACCCCACAATAAACACACAGGAAT